CCTACCACCATAGTCTTAGTTCTAAGACCAAAGCCTTAGAACATAATAAAAACCCCCAACACTTAATGAAAAATGAACCTGCAAGAAAAAAAAAACACCTTGCAAATCTTCTTGTATAAATATGCAATTCAAATTTAGGGATTTTTCCAATCTAGTAGGTATAAAATATTCAACAACTTTGCTGCCTTCTTCCTCTTTATAAGAAAATCAATGAATGGGAGGGGGGAAGGTTCCACGCATAGTAGAGACAAAATTATTTTACTTGACTCTCTTAACAAATCAACCTCCATTAACAGAAACACAAATGCCAAATAAGTTGAAACAGGGAATTACAAATCTTAGTTTTCAGTGTGAAAACATAACACAATTTTTTTTCTTTGTACTATAGAGTGATTCTTTTCTTCCCTCTTCCTGTCCCCCACATGACCACTGCTGCCTCCTGTAGAAATGGAATCCCTTGGAAATCAACTCCCCTGGAAAATGAATGGTTTGGAAACCTTTCAGAAAAGACAAGTTGTTAAAAGACCCACTTTCAGCCTCATGGACTTATTTCCTTTACATGTGAAAAGTGGGCTGGCTGCAGTCTGCCAGGTTCATTTGGGTTCCAATATTCTTTATTTATATACAATTCTTCTTACCTGGCCTCAGAATACTGAGATCACCACTGGAAGCCCTCCAATATCCATCTTCCTCATCCACCTGGAAGATGCTTCCTTTTTATTCCTTTCAGCCACCTATTCTGACAGCAAAACTCTGTTGTTCTTCTTATGTTCCAGCTTTCCTTATTAAATATGGTCATATAACCTTTCCTGCCAGTCTGCAAACTGCTGGGAGCGCTGACCGCCCTCACCAAGCTCTATGACCATGTACTGAAAACAAAAGTGGATCCTCCTTTTTATAATTCATAAGCCATCTGTTTAGCTTTCTTAAAAGAAGAAAAGCAGTAAGTGTAGGATTCACGCTAGTCAGTCTCCACGCCTTTAAAAAAAAAATAATTAAAAAAGACTCTTACCGTAAACAACTTAAATGCAGCTCATCAAGGAGAGCCCTTGTGAACACAGAGGTCCTGAAAAAACTGGGAAAGAAAGAACTGGATCCCTCCCAGCACAGGAGCTCTGTGCCTTCCTAAGGGACCTCTGTAGATGAATTCCCATCACCTCGGTGACCTTCGTGGTGGCCAGCATGATAATATTCCTGTCTGTTTACCCAGGTGGTAAAAACAATGCTGTAGTGACTGTCGTCTGCTTTGTGATCCCCTCCCTGAGTTCTCCCTCAAGCTGTCACCTTCTAGAGAGCCCCTTTATGCCTCAGACCCCACAAGGGAGGGAAGACAGCACATTCTGATGTGCTAGTAAAACCAAATGTGCATTTTTTTTTGCAAATTACAGTTCAAATTACAAGTTTTTTTTCTGTGTAGGAAAATTAACAGGTTCATCTACTAATTCCCACATAAAATGAACGTGGTCAATTCCATGGCAATCTTCTGGTTAAAACAAAGGGAATTTATCTTTTCAGGAAACTCTGTCTCATAGCACCTGAGCTGACAGAAAAATGGTAGCCATGGGAGTCTCCAAGAAAAAGTCAGCACAGACCCATCACCTGCTCAGAGGACTGAGTGATGAAATCCATACCGTCCTGGGGAACAGCTTCCCTAGCACAGGGAGGGATGGTTCTCATCTTCTGCAAGCTTCAACTCCCAGACTTCTGCTTCAACATTGAGAAAAACAGTGAGGCTGATCAAATTGCTGTTTCCTTTTGCACATGACTGAAACATAACTGTTACCCTCGATCTGACTAGATTAAAGGAAAGCTGCTGCTCCATTCACTGGAATTCCTGCAGAAGTTGCCCTTTTCTGAATCACCAGTAATAGCACTAGCGTGAGTGGCTGGTGAAGAAGCATTCATAAAGCTTTCAAGTCTATTGCTGTTGGCTTAGTGAGGGCTTTCTTCATCATGAGCCTGAATAGATTTATTGTCTTGGTCATGGAGTGTGAACAAAAGTGATAGTGCTCACCAGGCACTTAGTTTTCTCAATTCTACTCAATTCTAATTGTAACTAATGAAAAGAATACTACATTTTTAGGTCGTGGTTCCAGGAAGCATTTTAAATAGAAGTAGCCTCCAGCGCTGTTCAGAATACAATCTAAATAATGCAAGATTGTTAGCAGAAAATACAGCACTATTAAATAACACCAAGTAATGGGCAACTATTCAAAGTCATTATTCTTGATTAGCCTGGATCATTATTACTGACCCTATGTGACCTTATTTGCACTCAGTAATACTTGTAGTCATTCAGGAAAGTTAAATAATCATTACTGATTAATTACTATTGATTATACTGAGTGGCTGTATCCATATGTATTAGGATACATTGCTGTATTAGGAAGCATTGAAACTTTCCAAATATGTCTTTTTTTCCTTCCTGAAAAAAAGATAACCTTTCTCAAAAGCAAGTAGTTTGGGAGAAAGTTGGCTTATGTTCCCTAAAGCCTGTAAGTATTTCCGAAAAGCCCACCCAAAATGACGCATTTTTTCAGTTCAGGGAATTTCTGTTTCAGGTAAAATAATATGTTTTATGCAGTTTGTGAGGATGAGACTTTTTTATAGCATCTCAACTGAAACACATCATGGCAGTGTGCAAAGTGAAGGGACAGAAAATATCCACTGATTTTATTACATAAATGTACAGGTGGCATTTTGAAAAAAAAAGAAGTCTGTGGTTCTGCTGAATATGTAACACTAACAATCCTGAAAATGGGAGGTTTCTGATGATTGCCTGTTGATTTGCCTTGCAAATACCTCTTTCTGCAAATACCTGCTCATGGCACACCTTTGACAAGAAGCCATTTGCACAGTGTTTTGTCAGCACTTGTTTAGCATGCAGCTTAGAGCTGTGATGAAGTGTCCCAATAGACCTTTTTATTTTCTTCCTAACTACAGACTCACTTGACAGAGTGACATGTTGAAATGTTGCATAAGAAAAGGTTCGTTATGGAGTGTGTTGGATTTTTTTTTTTTTTTTTTTAAATTAAAAGCATTATCACGAATCTAATTGGAGAGAGTAAGCAGCCAGTGTCTTTAGTGTCAGGGTTTGACTCAGGGATCACTTTCCAGGTGCGCAGGGCAGTTTTTGTCTGCCATGCTACCCTCTTGCCTCAGCTAAACCAGTTTGCAGCAGAGCTGCGATGGAAGAGGCAGTGGCAAAATGGCAGTATCTCCTGCAGGAGCTCTCCAGATCTCCCTTTGATGGGAGTAACCACCCAGCATGTTGGTTTTATTCCAGGCTTTTTTGGTTGTGGCGCAGTCAATTACAATGACAAAATGATGCATAATGGAAGGAAGAGCCTCATTATATTGTCACTTGTACTTTGTAGCTTGCTGTCACACCTAATGAAGGGCAGAAGCTGACGGTCTGGGTTGCAATGAGCCTGTGCAAAGTGCAAATGCTTCACAGTAACCCACGACAAACACCAGTTTGAGGCTTTCTTGTGTGTCTGATAGCTGTGTTAAAGATGCAAGTCTGAAGGAATTTAATCTAATCCTGTTTTCATGATTGTAAGGCACAGGAGCTGGGCTGGTTGTGTTTGTTCTACCCTGATATTACGAAAAACTAGGCATAGCTCGCAATCTGCTCGCCTGGATTTAACTCTGTCAGGGTTCTTTGGTGATAGCGCAGGCAATGGTTTGAAGTGCTAAGGGATTACATATTTCAAGATTTTAAGGCTAAAATATACCCATGTAACCACTAGTCTGACTTCTTGTGTATCTGCGCTGGGTGCCCGTGCCCAGGCGCTGGGGCTGCAGGGCCCCCTCTGAGGAGAGCTGAGGGGCTGCCCCGGGCCAGTCACGGCCGGTTCCAGCCGGTTCCCGCGGCCCCCCGCAGGGCACAGCTGAGCCCCTCAGCCAGGCTGGGGGTGCCCCTGGCAAAGGGTGTTTAGGAAAGGGCAAAACGCTGCCGGGCAGCCAGGGGAAAAGTGTGAGAAACAGCCCTGTGACACCGAGGGCCGGGCGGGAGGAGGGACGAGGCACTCCAGGCCCTGAGGTGAGACTCCCCTGCGGCCATGGAGGGACCCCGGGGAGGCGGTTTTCCTGACAGGAACTGCAGCCATGGAGGGCCCATGCTGGAGCAGGGGATGGAGAGGAGGAAAGGGCAGCAGAGAGGAGCCATTGTGGACTGACCACAACCCTCATTCCCTACCCCCTGTGCCACCTGGGGAGGGGGAGATGTAGAGCAGTAAAAAAAGGAGATGAGGGGAATGTGCTTTAGCTTTTTTGGTTTTCTCACCATCCAAACCTATTTTAATTTGCAATTAATTAAAATATTTTTTTCCAAGTCGAGTCGCTTTTGCCCATGATGGTAATTGATAAATGATCTCCTTGTCTTTTATCTCAACCCACAAGCTTTTTCATCTCCTTCCCATCTTGTTGAGGGGATGTGAGAGAGCAGCTGGATGGGCGGCTCACAGCTGGTCCAGGCTGACCCACCACAATATTACATGCTGTACGATTTTATATAGCAGTTCCTTCAGGGGGAGGAATTCTTCCTGCCTGATGTGCTCTAACATCCAGCACATAACCCTTCTTCTCAAATGTATAGCACTGTGTACTGGAGTGAAATCTCCTGAAGGCGGGAGGGAGAGAGAGAGAGGAGGTGTGCGTGTGATGCAGAGAGGAAACGGGACAGTGTATCCTGACTGACATTTGAGATGCCAACGGGTTCCTGTGTTCATAGACTTGCAACCTCAAAAGAGCTGCTGTGCTGGGTTAGATCACTTGTCAACAAAATTTCTACAGGGTTCTTCATAGTAAATCAGAAATGAGCCTTTATATTTTCTAGTAATTTCTCTGTGTTGGAAATGCACAGCATGGCAGTCGCTATTTGAATGTGTCGCTGAAGTGTTTGTGAAGATGACAGCTTAACAAAGAAACTTACTGTGCTGAAACAAACATGGTAAAAAGGAGGTAGGATAAATGAAAACACCTTTCTGTCCCTACAGAAACTCAACATATTGCATGAAGGTGTCCATGTCCTTGACAGTAGCTGAGAATGAATCTGGGCTTTGCTACAACAGCAAGATCAGATATCTGGAAAAATCCGAAGTCACTAAGAGAAAGACAATCTCCTGTCCTGATATTGAGGATTACAAAACAGCCAGTCAAGAGCCAGATGTGGTGTGGTACAAGGTAAGTATTGTTGTCTTATTGTTATTGTGCTGAAACTATACAAAACTTCCATTGTTTTCAGTCTGAGGTTTAGAGATGGCCTTTTCTGAGCCTGCAGTGGTTTGTGACTGGTCTGGAGGATGCTCTCCCAGTATTACAGAAGTACTGCTGAAGTGCAGGCAAAACTACCCAGCATTGTCCTTGTCCAACAGAAATCAGCATAAATGTTCTGTGCAAGAGGTCACATGACTTCTCTGACAGCAGTACCACATTCTCAACCACTGTGCCTCTGTACCAGTGTCCACCTTGGTGGGATGTCTCCCTGCATGATACTGTAGTAGCAACAAAAGGACGCAACCTACAATGGAGCCAAAGGTATATCAGCACCACCAGCTTCAGCAGTGCTACCCAATTAATTTTTATGAAGTCTGTTGAGTAATTTCACCAAGGCTTCTTAATTTTTACCAAAGTCTCCTGGGTAATTTCACAGAGATGCATTTACTTTTGCTGGTGTTCATTAGGTAATTTTACTGAGGTCTGTTAATTTCAACTGAGGTCTGTTAGATACTTTTACTATTCGGCAGGTAACTCAGCTGGCTGTACCTTCTCCAAGGCCTGTCAAGTATCACACACCACTTTCAGCAGCAGATGTATCAGTGTTGTGTTTCTGTAGCTTCCCAAGAAAACAGGAGAATGATTAAAATATGAGTTGTCAGGCAGACATCAGGTACCAGGCAAGGTCTGGCAAATTTTACCTGTTGTCTGGACTTGGACTAAAGTCTGATATTTGAAAAGCCCTCGAGTATGAGTTGCTGCAAGGAACAATGGAGAAGAATAAAGAGCTGAGAGTCAGAGAGAACATGAAATAGTTGGGCAAGAGGAAGAGCTCGGTGGGGTCCATGGAAAATAGAGTTTGGATTGTAGGGTTAAAGGCAGAAAGAGTTTAGGACAAACTTGGTTCAGGTAATGAAGACCGAAACGTACAAACTAGTTAAATCCTACATTTTGAGTGCTTGATTTGCCAACCTTAGTAACATTCTTTAAAGATAGTTATTTTGTGTGAAATAATATGTGCAGAGCTGTAGAATTTTTTCCTCTTTAGCAGGTTGCATCAGAAAAGAGCAATTATAAAAGTTGTCATCTGTTTCTATTTTTTACAGAAATCTCACATGTTCTATCTTACAGTAACAAAACGTGTGCCATAACCCACTGTTAGTATAAACAAAGTTTTTCTTTCAGCCATTGAAGCTGTTTCTCTCAGCATATGAGTACATATCTTCAGTGCTGTTCATACATAAAATATATGCATTCGGTTAAGTATGAAATCTTGGAGAAAAGAGGGTACCGGAGAGAAGCTGTTTCTTGCCATATCTACCTAGGTATTACTGAATACCAGATCACTGAAGATCTCATTTTTTGGCAAAAGCACACTGCAGAAAGTGATCTAGCAGGAATAATCTTCAGCTGTCATGGAGCAGAAATCAGTCTAAGAAAGATGCATGTACAACCCCATATCAACGATGCTTTGTTGATGCTGACCAAGAGAGGAATGGAAGGGTCTTTGTTCCATATACCTGCACATGTTATCTGGGGTTACACACACAGGGTGTGTGACACCAGGCTGGAGCGTGACAACTGACTGACAAGCCATCACTGTGGTGAAATGCAACAGAATTAACATGGTTGGATGATAACGGTGAGACAATCAGAGTTGACAACCTTTAGTCTAGCTTGATCATGAAAAGAGACATCAGTGGAATAACCTACTGCATATATCTCCTTATCCGTAATTAACAATGAGGTGCTATCGGTTCAGTTCCTAGACAACACCTATGTTATCTGGACCTGAGTCAGAAAGCTCAGTAATGTGAAATGTCAATGTTATGCAGAAGGTTTATATGTCAGGTTATCCTTTGAAACTTATTCCTGAAACAGGGTTTTTGAAAAATATTCTAGCTGGTATTATGGCTCTACCTGTTAATAGAAGTCTGCCTATTCAAAAGAACCTAAGTCCAGTTTCTAGAAAATACATAATTACTTGGGTTTCAAAATAATATGTTGAGTACTGGGATAACCCCTACCAAGCACAGTCTGGGACTTAAGATCATGCTGTGTGAGGTAGCATGTGTAACAAAAAGCAGGTCCTTTCTCCCAAATGATAGTGTAAAGTGATATTCCACTTGAGGATCTGCCCCTCGCTTTCTGCAGAAGGTATCTGTTTCCGATCATAGCACACCAGATCCTCAAGTTTTTCGCCTCTACCTTTGTGATTGAGTTTAACATGTACATGAAGCCATCTTCTTGTGTAAATCTGCTCCAGAGGCACTGGGAGGCAATTCCTTTTCATTATGCTGAAATATTTAGAGAAGATTTTCACCCAAGGGAGAGCATAAGTTGTCCAAAATAGAACAGTAGATAAATAAATATGAGGAAGTCCTCAAGGTTCCTTCTTTGTACCTTTGGCTGAAAAGAGAAATCCTCTTGTTCATGAGAACCTGCCAGTTCAGTGGTAGTCAGGGAGTCTGGACTTGTGACCAATGAAATACCATCAGACAAGACAGTAGTGGTGCAAGCCCACCCTGTGCAGGACTCGCCCTGCCTTTCCAAAAGGCACCCTTCTCTATGTGGAGGGATTAATGAATCTGAGCCAATAATTGCATCAATTTACAGGGAGTTAACTGTAATTTCAGCATGCTCTTAAAATAATTATGCCTGAGTAGATTTTCACACGCACACCTGATCAGTAATAAAACATTTGCTATGAGGAGTTATTTTAACAGTAGTATGAACTTCACTTCTGGCTAGAATTACACTGCATGAAATATTTTTAAAGATTTCCACCATTAATGCCATTGATATATACACAGCTCTGCTACGCCTGTTAGAACTGTTTTGACAAGAAGTACAAGGATTTTTTTTTTTAAATAAATGTGTATGTCAAGGCATGATTGAATGAATGGGATTTAACAGTAAGAGCAGTTTCATGAAAAATTAACTGGTAGAGAAAAAAGGTATATTACATCTGGAATGTGGAGTCTTAATCCATTTCCACTATCACTTTTCTACTACAGGGTTGAAGGAAGGGCTGTGAAAACAATCAAAATGTCAGGTGAAGGACAGGTAATTGTCATCTACCCTACAAAAAATAGAGTTGTTGAGGTGCTGCCACTTAAATTTCAAGGAAGAGCAGCATAATAGTACTTAATTATTGGGGGGAAAACACTCAAAACATTTAAGATGTCTAAGGAGAATAAATAAGCTGGAAAAGAAACTCTGAGATTCTTCTAGCAGGTAAACATGATACAAAAGCAGAAAAAAGCAATTAATTGGTTAAACAAGCAACAGTCGTACAATTGAGCACTCACCTTTTTAGAGAAATTAGCAGAGCTCTGACAGTAAAATCTAGATTGTTTTCACAATATGAAGACTAGTTGATTACTTTTTAAATTTTGTTTGTTTCTCGGCCGTTTTTGTTGCTTAAAATACAAATTGTTATGGTTTTCTAGCCTCTCCCTTTTTTGCTTTTAGTTTTGTGTATTGAACTAGTCTGAAAAACAGGCAGAATAAAACAGACATTTTCAACGTATCTTCTTTCAGTAGAAGAAAAATTAATTAGCAATAATTTGGGAAAGAAAGACTTATAAATCATTTTTAATATGAAGTGTTTTAACTAGCTACAAAAATAAACTATTAGGAAATTAGTGGTACATTTCCAACAGAACAATTCCTCTCTGTAAAACCACAATAGCACAAACATTTTGTTTTGTTTGTGCTAAATCATTAATCTCTGTAGTGGTAAAGATATCGCCCTTCTTCTTAGAAACATGTAGTATATAAGAAAATAAAGCATATGAAAACGTATCTTCGATCTCTTTGCTCCCATACTTTAAGAAATAAAACAGAGAATATAAAACTGGTAACATATGAGAGTGTCTTTCAGTGCTGCACTGAAAGGGTGCATATCTGAAATGTGCTTACTTTGTGTGTTCTGGGAATTGTATTCCTTCTAAATTAGGATTGAATAGAACTGAATGATATTCTTTGCCCAATGTTCAGATTTAGTTACTCCAACAAGTTGATGTATCTTTAAGTAGGACTAAAAAATAAAGTGCAAATCAGAAAGGATTTAATGGCATTTTTTGGCTCAGATCTGTCCCCTGCATGAGTCTCAAGTGATGTCAGTGCAATTTAGTAACACAAATAAGCTCTGATTCTTCTTAGCACAGCAGATAGGATCTGGATTCTGATCATTCTCTGTCATCGGTGTTAACTAAAGTTCACATGCAAGACAAGATTACACTTGCCTTACAACTGTTCTTTGGAAACAGAAAGATAACCTGAACACTCTGTTACCTGTAGTAGTATTGCATAGTTTCAGAATTTGAAATCTGACCACATTGTAACTGAATTTGGCCTACTAGGGACAGAGATAAATGTTTCAGTGCTCTGTTTTCAAGTGCAAGGGCAGAAGCTCAAAGTCCTATCTTTTTATTTCTTTATTATTATCCTTTAATTTAGAATCTGGCATTGTGGATTTGGAATGTGTATGGAGTCCCATGCAAAAATTATGTTTGTGTCATTCTAGTCTCTTGCGATCATACAATATATTTGCATATCAGTGTATTTTCTTGTTTCATTGTTTTCTTAAGAGAAAGCTTTGTTCTATTTTGTTTGCTGTATTTCTGACACTGCTGTTGCAGATGAGCAGAAAATGGGGCATAGGTCTGGGCTATTTACACGATTCTCTGAACTTGCTGAGCCTGATGTAACTGATGCGAGATTGTTAGTTGCAATCTGAGAGCGTATTCCATGTTGCCACCTTGAGAGAGGGAATAGAGGGGCGTTAAAGGTACTTAGGCCCGATGTTGCTTTGTGTGCTCTGGGTACAGAGTTAGCCAGAGTCTCCAGAACTGTCAGGAGTACTGAGTATTTTAGAGAACTGTGAAAAGCCTGATTTGGTTTGCAGGCAGAACAGGCTTGATGTTAAAGTTATTGAGAGACCGTAAATATATAATCTTAAGGTACCATGTTAAAGAGACAATGTTCAGATTGTGCCTGTGATTTTAGTTCAGAGCATTCCAGGATGTATTCAGTCATGAATACCATTAGCATGGAAGGTGATTGATCTGGCTGCAATGATACAGTATGTTATGAAGGAGAGAGCCTCCTCTTGCACTGAATCACACACTATACAGAAGGCATCAAATGTTCTTCCAGTATGACCACAATTCCTAGTGAGGAACCTAAATCTGCCAGTTAAAGCTAAGGTGTGCCTGGGGAAGTCAGTGAGAGTTACAGGCCATCAGTACCATGTACTCATCAGAGGACGCACGTGGGGGTGATGCTACAAAGAGCCCAGTGATGGGAAAAGGCTGAATTAGAGCTCACACCTCATCAGGTGCCAGAGAAGCCGGTGGTGAGAAACAAGACCATAAGGAAACCAGGCTTCCTGAATTCTGTTGCTCACAAAACTGCTGTTCTGCCTGTTTTCTTCTGTTGGTAAATGGTTCTAGCCTGAGACTGTGTGTAAAGTTTGTGTTCAGGCTAACCCTTAACAGATGTTGCCCTTACTCCCTTCAAACAGAGATGCATTTTAATGGTCCATCCTAAAGTAGAGGTCTTGGCAGTTGTTCATCATGAAAAAGAGAAGAAACTTAACCATTGCTTCAGGGCACTACATGTTAAACATGGCCCATGTGATACAGTAGGAATTACTGAACCTTAAAAACATTTCTGTTTAATTTCTATCTTCGAATTAATTCCAGTTTCAGATCTCTGTGCTTTCTGAAATTATATTTGAATTTGAATTGCAAAATATATTGAGGTGGTTGTTTACTTATGTATAATACCGAAAATCTGATCAGGCAACAATGTCTTGTGTCATACAAGCTGGATAATTTTGGCAATGGATTTTTTTCTGCAGGAATGTAAGCCAAAAATGTGGAGAAGCATTGTAATTCAGAAAGGAAATACTCTCTTAATACAAGAGGTGCAGGAAGAAGATGGAGGAAATTATACCTGTGAACTAAAGTTTGAAGGCAAGCTTATACGAAGAACAGTTGAACTGAAGGTTACTGGTAAGAATCTTTGTTCTATGCCAATAGAAAAAATAAAGCTTTGAAATAATAAGGAAAAGTGGTTTTCACACGTCAGTGAATCTATTTAATAGAAGTAAGTCCAAACCAAATCCCAATAGCCAAGCAGTCCCAAACTAAGGGAAATTTATATCAAGATCTTATAAAATTCCACAGAAGACTACTTCTACCTTTTGCTCTGTGCAAGACCTGGAAATGCTGGTTATAAAGCAAAGGTAGAGCACACCTAAGTCCTCCCTCTACACTGGAAGTAGCTCAGACTCCAGGTTTATCTTCAGTGCCAAACAGGAAAAGTTGACTGAAGCTGTAAAACAGGCTTTTGATAAGGTTTGTCCTAGAATAAAACACAGCCAAAAGGGATGTCTTGAGTCATAAGGGTTTGGTTTTTTTTTTAAGTGATTGTTCCATGTTTTTAAGCTTTGGTTTAATTTATGATGATCAACTTCTCTAGTCTAGGGTTTATCTCTAGTGAAGAGTGTGGCACAACCTATTCCAAGAATGAAGTTAGGAACATTGGACTGTCAGGGGGAAAGTAACCTGCTTATCAGGAGGTCATACATTGTATGTTTCTGAGTCCATGTAGTAATCTACTAGACAACAGTATTTTTCTGTCTCTTTTTGTCAGGTACCAGAAATGAATGGGTAAAAAAGTATTCCCTACCAATATATTCCTGATCCTTTTTCCATTCCATCTGTAATTATTATTTTGCCTTCAGTGTCTGTGGAACTCTGCAAGTATCTGAAAACAGTTGAGTTTTTTTCAACCTTTCACACAAAACTATATGAACAAATGGTTAGATGTTTTCCCATCTGTGTTTCGACATACTGATTAAAGTGGGGTCCTACTTAAAACGGTGATAAGTAGAATTCTATTTTTTTATATCAAACTGAACTAGTCCATATGATATTTCTGGTATGTTCTTGAAATACAATTATTCCCTTTATTTTGAGTGGAATCCATTTTTCTGTTCTTATCGTTATTCCTTATTTTAAATGAGTTCTTTTCCCTGTGTGCCAAATTCATATATCATGTGACTCTATTGTCCGTTTTTGACCATGGGCAGATCTCTAAAGTATTGATTTGACCTACCTGACCCCAGACCTGTCAAATGAAGATATAATACCTGCCTTGTGGATAGTTGCTATCCTAGGTAGCAAGCTGGTCTTCAACCAGAATATGAACTAAGTTTGACAAAGTGAAAATGAGATGCATTTAATTCAATTCCCCGTGATGGATATTCTTTAGATAACAGATACTCTGTGCTCTCTCTCTCATCGTGACCTTGCTAGAACTGATGTGTTCTCTTCATTATTTGAACAGTGTGTATATTCATATTTCACAATCCAGTGAATTTGTCCTAAACTAACTATAGTATCTATTAAAGTTATATATTTTATTAGAATGTTTATGACCTGAATTATATGCAAGTGTTCTTTTTGCAAAATGCTTGAGAATCAGGAGATTGCTCCCCTTGTAATTTGGTATGAAATTCAAATAACATTAAATTTCCTTTAGTTTATGAAAGCACATATGTTGGTAAACACCTTTTTGAGATTTAAGTGTTTGGGATGTTATGTGTTTGCTGGTTGAATCTCTCTAGATATCTGGAATAGGCTAGTAAATTTATGTAGATGGCAACCTGAAAATACGGATTAGAACTATGAATGTAATAGATAGAACCATATAAGCATATTATCTTTAGCTTGGTGCTTGACCAAGTTTCTTTCTCCTGTTTCTGTTTTGTTTCAGTTTGTGAATTTTATATGCATGTGGGTTTAGATCTTTATGGGGGAGAGGTCAAAGAAAACTCATAAAACAAACAACAGAGAGTTAACTTGTGTTGTGTGGCTGGCCACGTCAGGTGGAGGGTCCTGAGGCAGATCAGATCATAGACTGGGTGCAGGTACATGACATAATTAGGGGCAAAGGCCTGCTCTTGTTAGTTAGTTATCCAATGGTTATTTAAGCGAACTTCCAGTGAAGTCGTTAGAGCTGTTAGAAGGTGTCGCCATAACTTCCTGTGCCTGAGCATCAGGGCAGTTGCCTGAGGGGCTGTGGCTGTGCAAGGGAGCTCCAAGGAGAGCAGGTGCCGTTCCTCAGGCACTGCTTTCCTCAGAGCTGGTCTTGCCTCCTCACTTTTGCACACCCAAATGGAAGATCTCAGTGGGTCAGTTAGAAGTAGAAGGGGAGTTCTTACTTCCTTTCTTCTTCCTGCGACTAAGTCACGGTATTAGCTACTATGAGATAATTTGTAAGAAAAAAATCTCTGGAGTCATAGGTGGAATCTCAAAGCCATCAATGTAATGCCTGGCCACAGTAAGAAAGACGAAGAAATCTGAGTTATATTAGTAGATGCACAGAGCATGAAACAGACAGGTAAAGTGGCATTTGTAGAAAGGGGTGGTTGGACTACACATGGAGTACTGTATGTGGCTGGGAATGCTACCTATGGCTTTGATGGTTAAGGTGCGGGTGAGGTTGATTAAGACAATAAAAGGCTTCAGAGGCTTACAGCTCTTTAGGGTTGTAAGGAAAAGGCTTGCAGCCTAGAATATATTCAAAAAATATTTTGACACAAAGTATTTATAGGGACAAAATCCTGAGCTACAATATAGCACTAATGAGCAGTGCCTAAATCTTGGTGTTTGGGTGCATTTAACAATAATAGATTGTCAACAATCAGCTTTTTCATCACTACTTCTTCATGGAGTTGTTATATTATGCAGACAGATGTGAAACAAGTCTTGTCAGCCTTTTTTGCTGAAGAAACATGACAACAGTGTTATCTCTTAGCAAGTAATATGTAACTCTTCAGTCTATGTAAAAAAAAAAGTTTTCACTTTGCTTCTTGGTAGTTTTGTTGTGTACAAACAAGTGAGATTAGCAACTGAATCCAGGATTCTAAAGCCTCATAATGTAACAGAAACTCATTTCATAATTAGATAATAAATTAGAGTGTACCCACATAGAAAAAATGAACATACTAACATAAGGTTATAGATAACCAACGATATCAGAATGTATTAATTTTTAATAAAATTACAGATATTCAGGAGTATCAGAAATCATAAGCATTTTAATGAGTATTGTTAAATGACAGTGTTTATTGAAGAACAACTACACTATTCAGAGAAAAAGAAAAACCCAAACATGAAAAGTCATGTTGTTTTTTGAAAGGCAATTTATGCAACCTTCTGCTTTCCCCAAACCTACCAACCAGTTCACTCTGCCATGCTACATAGCAATGCTTCAATAGCTTTGGGGATGAAAAGGTGCGACTGAGAAGTATGCCTGCTATGTTTACCTGCTGCTTCAGCACTTGTTTTCTGTTTTGGAACACTGGTCTGTAAGGACATGTGTTTAGAAGAAGATGTAAGCAGATGTACGTTGGAGGTAGGGGAAGGGGTGACCGCCCTGAGAAAGGAACAAGACCTGCTCAGGTGGTGCAGGTGTCCCCTGGCAGATGGGGCTGTCTTGCAGGGATGTGCTTTTCCATGGACAGCTATGCTAGTGGGAGAGGTTGCCTTGTTCTTTCTGCTCCCTGTGAAAAGAGGTGATTTGTGAACTTGTACTGGTGAATTATTTTCCACTTTGACAGCAGAAAGTGGCCATCTGACCAACTTCATAAACCGCTAGTGATGGATTGGAGTGACGTGCAGGAAAAGTCCAGCAGCCCTGTCCTCCAAGTTCCCTTCAACCTCTACTCTGTCATATTCTTCATAGGCTGCTAAAATGCCTGGCTGTTCCTAAAAGTCATTTATGCAGCAATATTTGTTTTGACCGTTGTAAATGACAGATTATTCCACATGACTACGTGAATTGAATGGTTCTGCCTGAATTCACTCTTTGCTCATAGTTTTTCAATTAAATTCTTTCAAATCTCATTACATCGCTCACTTTTCAAATTACACCTGCTGCTATTGCTAGATTTTGTTTGTGTGTTTGGGACCCCTTTATTAGCACAAGCAGTTGATGGTGATTTGCTATTGTTAAGCCAAGGGGTGAATGGATTTAAAAATGCAGACGATTAGTCATACTCTTCAGCAGCTCTAGAGACATACAGAGACAAGCTACCACAGAAAAAGTGGGGATATGAGCTAAAAGTATGTCCACTCTTTGGTGGTAGTTGCTTTTATGCACATTTTTAATCCTCTGTAAACTGGTATGCTATTTTACATTATTTGTGGTGGTCTGGTGACACATTGGCAGGAATCAGTGGGTGTTGATCAGTACAAATTTACACCTGCAGTAATCTGTAAGTGCAACCTAAGCCTTATCAGTTTACAGTAGATAAAATATTAACAACAGAATCATACAAATGACATGTTGACTGACAACATTTTCGGCTGTTGACAGTTTCCAGAACAACCACAGCAAAAAAGTGTTGAGCTAAATGAAAGCTTATTTGAACTGAACTGAAACATGCCCTTTGGAATTCAGACTATTATAAGGGATTTACTTTTATGATGTAAAATATAAGATTTGTTATTTGCTTAAAAATCTGAAAGCATTTAATTATGATTCTAACCCAACAGCATTATGTTTTGGCATTTAATAATCTGCAATGAATTTATGAAATGCTTCAGTATTGCTTAAGTAGTTACGTATCCAAAAAAACCAGTTTAGCTCTAAAAGGTCACTGAGCTCTGAATATCATTGTGCAGGTGGGAATTGGATGTACATAAAAGCAGGGCCAACATAAGACACAGGTTAAAAAAAGCAGTTGGCTAAGGAATAAAAGTGGATGAGCTGAACGTATTCAGCAGCGTTTTCTGCTGCAAGAGGTACTATACGAAGGACATGCCTGTCGCACAACACTCTAGTCTGTAGGGATTCCTAAGTTAACTGTGAAAGAGCTTTTTCCACAGAGCTAGTTAATGTGTTTGTATGGCTTTTGGTACCCAAAGCAACTCTGACATCTCTGCCTGGCATTGTACTATGTAGGGAGGGCAAAGCCTCCAGGTCCTGGTGGAGGCTGGAT